CTCTCTCTCTCTCTCTCTCTCTCTCTCTCTCTCTCTCTCTCTCTCTCTCTCTCTCTCTCTCACACACACAGACACACACACACACACACACACACTGCACATGCGCACGCAAATACACAGCAAGCAGAATCGCGCCAGAAGACCTTCGATATTGCCTGCCTCGTTCCCGCCAACCACCACCAATAAATCAAGTGAAAAAAAAAAAGCTGGGCAGGACGACGTACATAACAGTACCCACTGTCCCGACGGTTTGATCACCTTAATATCCATAACATAATTATGGTCCGTTGTTCGTTTTCCTCACTCCCTCATTGCCGTCCTCCTGCTTCTTCTTCTTCTGCTGCTGATTATCAACTCCTTCGACCAGATCAATGCTCTCCCTGTTCTCGTCTCTCGCGCTTTGACTTCCACTTCCCTCCTTTGTTTCATCGCAAATCCACCTTCGATCATCAGAACGCGAGACCCCCTTCCCCCCCCCTCGTACTACCCAGCTGATTCATTCTGTCGAAAGCACGTGTCCGTCCGTACATCCTCTCTTTCCCTAAACCTCTCATCCTCGTGCTCTTCATTCTTCCCCCCTGGCTACATTCCCGCAACCCCCGGGATTTTTTCTAGCCTCCCTCTCTCCCCCTTCTTCTTGTCTCTCCTCCTCCGCCGCCTTTGCCCTCATGCTCCTGCTTCCGGCCCCCATCATCCTCTGCATCAAAATCCATCAGAGTGGCCTCCCTCCGTCCTTTTGTTCTGGGTCGTGATCATCTCTGGCTCCTAATCAGCGTCACTTTCTTCAGAATTTTCTTCTGCTTGCCCTCCCTCCTCCTCCTCCTTGACACCCTTCGCCTTCCTCCTCTTTCTGCTGCTCCTCGTCCTCCTCCTCCTCTTTCATCTACCTTTTCTCGCATCACCCTCCCTCTACACCTGACGCTTCTTCTTCTGCATTTAGAGAATCCGCAGGCAAGTATCATACACAAGACTCCTAATCGGTGAGGAAGAAGCAAAACAAACCATTAGCACGCAAGAAAAACAGTGGAGCAGTGATTGGGCACGCATGCGTCAGCGCCGTTGCTAGATAGCTACGTGAGGGCACGAGGGATACCTACCCTATCCTTACTTTTTTTACCTTCGCTATGCTAGCTGCACGATACGCACGTATGTATACATACATACGTATATATATTGTCACAAGAGTATCAGAGCGCACATGCGAACGAAAAGGAAAAAAGAAAGAAAAACAAGAAAAAATGAATTCAGTTTTTTATCTTCTTCCTTATAACTCCCCCTGTTCAGAACCTCTTGCGTACAAAGGCCGCCCACGTGGATGTAGGTTGAGCGGCGGCTGCCCCCAACCCCGTGTGTCATATCGACCCACTTGCACACAGCCAAAAGGCAAAGAGGCAAAGAAAAGAGGAAGGGAACAGCCAAAAAAAACAGAACAGGGGGCATATACATACATATACATACATATATATATGTACAAGTGCGCATACACCGACCTCAATTTCGTAATTCAGGGAAAAGGAGCAGAGCCAAAAGAATGAAGAAAAGGGTAGGTGGTAGGATGGGAACAGTAACAAGAAGGTGATTGGCAGGCCTTCGAAATGAAGAAATGCACAAACATTATTTCAAATGAGGACGGGAAAAAGAGAGGGAAAAGAGACAGACCCAAAACATTAACCGACAGAGAACGGGAGAGGGGGGGGGGGGGGGGAGAAGGGGGAAAAGAGGGGGGTAAGGAGGGACGTAGAGAGGGGGGGGGGGAAGGAG